GAGACAGTTTGTTATAATTTCTGTTCTTGTACATTTGCTGAGGAGTGGAGTGCTTACTGTCCAAGGTAATTTATAGATTCAATGCCATCCTCATCAAGCTACCAATGAGTTTCTTCACAGAATTGGAAAAAACTGCTTTAAAGTTCATACGGAACCAAAAAAGAGCCCGCATTGCCAAGACAATCCTAAGGCAAAAGAACAAAGCTGGAGGCATCACGCTACCTGACTTCAAACTATACTACAAGGCTACAGTAACCAAAACAGCATGGTACTGGTACCAAAACAGAGATATAGACCAATGGAACAGAACAGAATCCTCAGAAATAATACCAGACATCTACAGCCATCTGATCTTTGACAAACCTGAGAAAAACAAGAAATGGGGAAAGGATTCCCTATTTAATAAATGGTGCTGGGAAAATTGGCTAGCCATAAGTAGAAAGCTGAAACTGGATCCTTTCATTACTCCTTATACGAAAATTAATTCAAGATGGATTAGAGACTTAAATGTTAGACCTAATACCATAAAAAACCCTAGAAGAAAACCTAGGTAATACCATTCAGGACATAGGCATGGGCAAGGACTTCATGTCTAAAACACCAAAAGCAATGGCAACAAAAGCCAAAATTGACAAATGGGATCTAATTAAACTAAAGAGCTTCTGCACAGTAAAAGAAACTACCATCAGAGTGAACAGGCAACTTACAGAATGGGAGAAAATTTTTGCAATCTACTCATCCGACAAAGGGCTAATATCCAGAACCTACAAAGAACTCAAACAAATTTACAACAAAAAAAATACAACCCCATCAAAAAGTGGGCAAAGAATATGAACAGACATTTCTCAAAAGAAGACATTCATACAGCCAACAGACACATGAAAAAATGCTCATCATCACTGGCCATCAGAGAAATGCAAATCAAAACCACAATGAGATACCATCTCACACCAGTTAGAATGGCGATCATTAAAAAGTCAGGAAACAACAGGTGCTGGAGAGGATGTGGAGAAATAGGAACACTTTTACACTGTTGGTGAGATTGTAAACTAGTTCAACCATTATGGAAAACAGTATGGCGTTTCCTCAAGGATCTAGAACTAGAAGTACCATATGAGCCAGCCATCCCATTACTGGGTATATACCCAAAGGATTATAAATCATGCTGCTATAAAGACACATGCACACGGATGTTTATTGCGGCACTATTCACAATAGCAAAGACTTGGAATCAACCCAAATGTCCATCAGTGACAGACTGGATTAAGAAAATGTGGCACATACACACCATGGAATACTATGCAGCCATAAAAAAGGATGAGTTTGTGTCCTTTGTGGGGACATGGATGCAGCTGGAAACCATCATTCTCAGCAAACTATTGCAAGAACAGAAAACCAAACACCGCATGTTCTCACTCATCGGTGTGAAGTGAACAATGAGATCACCTGGACTTGGGAAGGGGAACATCACACACCGGGGCCTATCATGGGGAGGGGGGAGGGGGGAGGGGGAGGGATTGCATTGGGAGTTATACCTGATGTAAATGACGAGTTGATGGGTGCTGACGAGTTGATGGGTGCAGCACACCAACATGGCACAAGTATACATATGTGAGAAATCTGCGTGTTATGCACATGTAACCTAGAACTTAAAGTATAATAATAAAAAAAAATTTTTTAAAAATCACAGTTTATTATATCACAGGTCTAGAGGTCAGGAATCTGAAATGGGTCTACAGGGCTATGCTCTTTTCATGTTTTGTGCGTGTGTATGTGACGGAGTTTCACTCTTGTCGCCCAGCATAGTAAATTTACTTGCGTAACAAAAAAACGCAAAATATTGATGGTTTAATACACATAATTTTTTTTCTCCCAGAAGATCTTTTTGTGAGAAAGGAGGCTTCTAGCAGTCCCCTGCTATCCTTTGCTTAGAACTCCTCCCTCTATCTTCAAAGCCAGCAGTGTAGAATCTTCTCCCCTCTCTTGACATCTTGTCTCCCTCTTATAAGGACTCTTTGATTATGTCCAGCCATCCAGACAATCCAGGGTAATTTTCCCCATCTCCTTAATCACATATGCAGTTCCTTTTGCCATATAAGATAAAATATCAATAGGTTCTTAAGATTAGGATATAGACATCTTTGGGGGTCATTATTCTGTCTACTACACTCCTATTTACCTTTTTTCAGGAAGGCATTAGAGGATGTAGTTCATTTTTAAAAAGGGATTAAACAAAGAAAAAGGAAACAAGTGATCTAACACACAGGAGAACAGTATTACATTGCAGAAACCAGCAATCCTGAATAAACTAAAGGTTGTAACGCTGTAGGAAGAGTATCTGTAAGGAAAAAAAAAATCTACCGGATTAACTGTTGTATTTCACTGTGATGCTTTAGCAGTTTGCCAAAGTGTTTGAGGACAGATTAATAATACGTTAAAAATGGCAGTTATTAAGAGAAAGGAAAGTAAAAGGTTGTATTAAAAGTGAATGTGATCTTAATATGCCATGTGCCTTAGGGTTGAATGACATTTACCTAGACAGTAGTGATAACACTAAATGTTGATTTAGCCAAAGCCTATGATATCACTATATTGATAGGTAAAGGGACAAGAAGAATGTACGAGGTAGAGAGGGAATGTTCACACACTTGGAGGTGGTACTGTTATAAAAGACCTATATCACTGCCTTCCATAGGAGAAAGTCAATGGGTAATGTCTGAAACTGGAAAACCAAGAAATTGCAATGTAAGTATATTTAGACATAGTGGGTAATAGACAAAATATTTAAAAGACTTGAATTTTCCTTTGGTGAGCAGAATTGAGAATAGAGTAGAAGGGTTGGAGACTACAGGGTTTTCTTTAACCTCAGAATGTGGCAAACTGTTAGTGCTCACCAATATGTGTGTGTTTCTCTACATTTCCCAGGATCCCCTGCAGTTAAAGTGGGGGCCTTGGGACTAAATTCCGGTCAACAGAATGTGGCCAAATTGATATATGTCATTTTTAGGGTTGACGTTGGGTGATTCGCCATACTTACTTTCTTGTCAGATAAGCTAGTCCTAGAAGGCAGCAGAACCATTAAAAATAAAAACATTTGGCCTTGAATTTAACATTTCATCTGACTAGAAATAGCCAAAATGGATCTTTTGTGAGGGAAAAAAAAAACCAAAACATGTATTAAACTGTTGATATTTTGGGGTTTTCTGTTACAGAAGTAAATTCACTACGCTGGTTTTAAAACATCGACAAGATTTGCCAATCCTTTGAGAAGAGGGATCTATGTCTCCTTTTCTGAAATGGAACAGGACTTTGACACACTTGTAAGCAAAATAAAGTGAGGGAAGTAGCACCGTGTTACCTTTTGAGGCAAGGTCAGAAAAGGTCAGGCAATTTTTGCTTTGTTCATTGCAACACTCCCTTTGGAGCTCTGAGTTTAAGCTAAGAAGTCTGACTACCTTGCTGCCATACTGTGAGGAAGCCCCGGCCATATAGTTACAGAAGCTCTGCTAGCATGCCTACTCTAGTCTTTCTGAGTTACCAAAGAAAAGCTGATGACTGTGCCCTACTGACAACATCACCTGTGAACATAATAAAATGGTTGTTTTAAGCCATCATATTTTGGAGTAATTTATTACATACAATAGCAACCCAATGCTCAGTCTAACAAATAGTATCATTTACTTTTTAATCTGTGCAATTTAACTATTTTGATAAAACTTAGAGTTAAGCTAAAAAGGAAAATGGGTGTGAATTACTTATTCCTGGCTTATAGACTTGCTATTCTACTTTCCCTACCCAGAAAGTTCACCTTTCTCCCTAAATCACTGGCCTTCAAACTTTTTAGAGTTTGAAATACACTAAGAAATACAATTTATAAACAAGCCCTAGTGCACACATACATGCATATATATAATTAAAAGCTCCATACAGTAGCACTTTACTAAGTAACACTAAATTTACTTACATGCGCTGATATTTCCAATCTATATTGTTCCAATTTTTTTTTTAAGTGTAAAGAGATTTCCTTGCTTACAAATGGGTCAAGACCTCCACTAATGGGGTCCCACACAATCCCCTTTCCAGTTGAAAACACTATCCTAAACCTAAATCATTCTTCAAGGCCTTACCCAAGTTCGAAAAAGAAGACTTTATTGACCACTCCATTCTCAGCTTTCTTGAAATTCCTGTAATTTATTCAGTTGCATTTTTTACCTCAGTAGTAAGAATATTGCATTTTCTGTACTTAAATTTAACATGCTTTACTTGATATCGTGAGCACTTCTAGGCAATTGTAAAGTCCTTTACCACTCGATAAATTCAGAGTGCTCAATAAAACATTGCTCAGCATTCGACCACTGTGTTTTAAAATCTTAGTTGTTAGAGTGCACTTCAGTTTGGGCATTCTTTGGGGAGAGGCAGGGACAAATGTTCTAATAACTCATCCACATATGATACTTCAAACTGGAAAAACACACAAAATAGTCTTAACTCTATATGCGTGTTTTTATGCAAACTAAATCATAAAGATACAAACGATTCTTCTAATAGCTTTCATTACCATACAACGCACGAAATAATGATATTCATACAGCCACGAAAGAGTAATATAACCAAGTTCTCACAACTAAAATATCTTTGAGGTGGGCAAAATGCAAACTTTTCTCTGGGATCAACATTTCTTCACAACTCACTGCAACTACACCTTGAGAGTATGTTTCGAGAACCGCTTCCCAATTATGTTGTCCCAGAATCGGGAGGAAACCGGGTGAAAGGCTGCGAGGCTTGAGGCGGGTCCCAGACGAACGCGGCCCTGCCCCACGCCAGAGCCTCTCAGAAGTGCGACACCGCCGCTGAGAGAGAGGCTGAGGCGGAACTTCCAGTCTAACCCCGCCCGGCTGTCGTCCCAGCCTGTTGCTTAGGCCGCGCGGTCTGCGTTGTGCGCGGCCCCGGCCCTAGCAACGACTCTAGTAACTGCCTGGCTCCTCCCTCTGGTGTTGCGGGGAAAGCGCTCCGTCTGGTCCGTGCGCTATCACGGCCCGGTGCGTGGCTCGGGCACGGGGGGAGCTGGAGACGCGTGGAGCCGTTCGAGGACTCGCGGGTGTGCAGGTCTGAGTACCACTCCGATCCCTGGTGGAGGTCTCCGCGCCTCTCTGGAGACCAGTGGTCTGGCCCCAGAGGTGCGGCCGCGGGAAGTGGACATTCTTTGTCAGGACCCTAGCGGAGGTCGCGCTGGGTGTCGCCTGTGAGGGGGATCCTCGGTCCCTGCGCGGTCTCTTGCTTTTTTTAGGATCTTGCGGGCCCTTTGGGGAAAAGGTTTCCAAATTTTTCCTCAAAAAAAAAAAAAAAATTGTTTTTCCTACCAATGATTTTCGGTGTATTCCGCCCCAACGAAAAATATGTCCTGGCAAAGTCAGTTCCCTAGGAACCCCATACTTTATTTTATTTTATTTTATTTAGTATTTGGAGTGGTTTGTGGGGGTTTGGTTATACGGAAGGGGAAGCGTAGTACAGACGTAGAATTAGCGATGCCATGCAGTGTAGTTAAAATATTGAGGTTGTGGTTACATAATAAGCAAAAGAGCCTTTTCTTACATCTAAATTATTTATTGGGAATGTAGGACAAATAAGGAAGTATATTAACATTTTTCGGTCACCAGGTCCACAAAGTTGGATGGTAAAATCGATACTTTAGATCGCAGCATTTAAGGACTAACCCAATGCACCACGAAAACGAAGGCAAGACAGTCTGCTACCATATGGCGGGTGGTGTGGGAGGGGCCATTGATCCTGTATAAAAAAGAGTACTACCTTGGATTGTGAAAAATGAATGTTGGACCTGTAGGTCCTGTGTGACCAAGTTCTTAAAAATACTCTAGACTAAAGAAAAATTGTGTTTTTTTCTAATACTGAATTGGTCCGCAATATAGGACAGGGGAGTCTATATAATGTTCCATTGGGAGGTGAGTCAGCTTACAATAATGGAAGAGGTAGAAGCTTTTTCTGTTATTATTTTGGGGAAAAAAAAAAAAATTGCCAGCCTGCCACTTGTGCTAGGCTGCAGATGGCCCATAAAGATAGTTTGTCAGATACTTCAGTAGTGAGATGCTTCCTGGATGTGTTTTGCAGAATGGTTTTGATTTAGTTAACTAGTGTTTGTTGAGTGCCTCCTGTTGCATAAGAATCAGTAATAGGTGACATAGGTGAGATCGGGGAAGGAATCTGCTCTTACAGAGTTGAATGGTAGAGGGGATAGATTCGCTAAAGTACCTCCACAATAAATGCATTTTTCCATGTCAAATATGTGGAACCAATAATAAGTACTCAAAGATAAAGAGATTTAAGACATTGCTGTGACCCATCTATGAGTTAGTAAGGAACTGAATTAGAGGCCTGACTTTGAGGGTGAAGATAGAGGATTACGTACAAGGTAGAATTGATGCAACTTGGTGAGTATAATTAATTTGGGGTGGAAATTGAGTAGAAGGAGGAATAAAAAATTAATGTATTTTTAGCCTTAAGTTCCAGAATGATGGACGCACCATCAAGGTGTTAAAATTGTTACTTCCTTAGGAATAGTCTTTATGTTTTCTAAGTATTTCTAGCCCCCATGACTCAAATTGTATTTCCTTGCACATATTTGATGTTAACAAGTATGTTTTAAAGATTTTAAATAACCCCATTTGCAACAAATGATTTACTCACAGTCGAGACAGGTTGTTGGCTAGGTTAGGACAGATACCCTGATCATGTAGTTTCAGAGACCATTGGAGGAAGCTGCCCATGATTTACGATTGCTGGCCTCTTCTGCGTGGCCACCTCAGCCGTAAGTGAGAGAATGTAGGTGAACTAGGAGGTGGAGCCATAAACATTTCTCTTTTACTGTCTTACAGGTATTTGTGGTGGTTAATTTTTTGTAGAGGAAGGTTATTTATATAAGGTTTCACTAATATCCATTTAGTTATGTGGATAGCAGGTCTGTGAACTGCAAAGTGTTATTTCTGAGATATCTCTAGGAGGAATGCATGTCAAGGGTCCTAGGATAACTCCAAAAACTCACCAGTAGTTTTCTGTTAAATGTCAGGCAACCACAGTAACTTTCATGACATCCACAGGGACTGCATTTTTCAATCCCACTATGCCTGGTCCTTTGAGTGGCACATGCAGTCCTGCTAAATAGCTACTGGAATACCCAGGAAAATGAAGTCAGATTAAGCTAGTCCAATCAAATTTCATTTTTTAGGATGAATCACATCATCTGAATAACTCAGGAGTATTAAAGCCTCAAAATGTTTCTCTGTAAGAACCTCAGGCACACCAGGACAAACCCAAAGAGAGTTTGGGTGAAACTTAGCTGCTTATGTGCAGCAAAGAGATGCCAACAGAGCATTTGCAACTCTCATTTCTGGGGACTATTAGGATCTCTTCCCAAACTTTTTTTTTCTCTGTTTTAGAGATGGGATCTCACTTTGTTGTCCAGACTACTCTCAAACTCCTGTGCTCAAGTAATCCTCCCACCTTAACCTCCCAAATGCTAGTATTAAAGGCATGAGCCACCAAGCCCGGCCCTTCCCAAGCTTGGAACTTCTTTACCTGGGTGACTCTAGGAGAGCTCCAAACCTCCTGAAATTGTGTGCAAAATATTGTGTCTGTATATTCATCTAGGGATGAGGTTTATGATTTTCATGTGATTCCTAGAAGAATCTGAGGTTCAAGAAAAGAGGGCATCTTAATATCCTGCACTTTTAGTCATTTAGGGCATAGTCACAAAGATCAAAGCCATTTTTAGGCAGGTGATTTGGAGTGGCAGAAGTAGGTAAGATTTTCTATTTGTGTGTTAGGAAGAAGGGTTTGGACCATTGTTCTTAAATACTGCTTTCTTACCCAAAATGTAAATCTGTACCTAATCAGTACACAGCAAAAATATTTACTGTATTTTGGTTTTCCCCTTGGGTACATTGGGCTAGTACCTTTTTCTACTATAACCGGCGTCTTTGCATCTCCTTATTTGGATCTCAAGCTCACTGGGATTTACAATTAAAAAAAAAAAAATTTCCTTTGATGAGTAATTAAATTAGTGCCACTAACTTCTCAGCAAATTATGTTGTATTTTATGTTCCTCTGGACTTTTTGTTCACTTTCTATATGGGAGACCACAAAACGTGTCCTGCTTGAGTCACAGCATTCCTCTTGTCACTGTTTCTACTTAAAGTGCCTGGAGCTTCGTAGTTAAACCACAATGCCAGAAGGCTTTATAATAAGAGAATTATTTTATAGCTGTGGAATGCATATCAAATCAATAGGGCACCAGTGTTGTTTCTCACTTGAAAGATATCTTCCTTACAGGGTATGCAGATAACAATTTTGGCAGCCATTACCCTTCTTTGAAGAAAATATTAAGTGGGGAAGTTATTTTACTGTTTTTCTCTAGTTCTAAAGAATCAGAATGATGTATATTTTTAAAAAGCATAAATTCTTAGAGTAAGTGGACATTAATGTTACTCTGTAAATTTTTAAGATTTATAAGATAATATATTTTACCTTATGGAATATTTTATAAATTATAATGAGTAGTAGATGCCTCTTATTTTTTATTGGATATTTAGTTGTATATGTATATGCACACTTGTACACACACACACATGTAGTGTGTGTTTTAAGTTGGAGAGGGCTATATCTTTTAGAACATAACCAACTAAATTTTGCCGATCCCACTAGAATCTTCTATTTTTCATTAATGTCAGTTCAAAGTCAGAGCCAACAGGTTAAATACATTCCTGTCTGATACTAACATGAAACCATTGCATTCCTAATATCTGGAAAACAAAATTGCCATCTGTGGAACAAAAAAAGCGTTCTTGAAAAATGGATTCTCAGTACCTGAACTTTATATTTGAAATACCTTTGAGTTTATTGCTTTTAATCTTATGTTTTAAAGTATGCCAATTTGGTGGTTTAAAACATGTTTAATAAGTACTAAAACAGCACACAATTGTGACTTAAGTTGAATAATTTTCTTTGTAGACTGAGTAAAATGTTTTCTGTTTTTATTTTGCCTTCTCTTGACACTTTTTTTTTTTTTTTTACAGTGCACCTATGATATGTGTTTTAGAAATAGCTGTTAAACTTTGGTTTGAATGAAGAATGTCTCTCAATTCACCTATATTTCTCAAACGAAGTGAAGAAAATAATTCAAAATTTGTGGAAACAAAACAGTCACAAACTACTTCCATAGCTTCAGAAGATCCCCTTCAAAACTTATGTTTAGCATCTCAAGAAGTTCTTCAAAAAGCTCAGAAAAGTGGGAGATCAAAATGTCTCAAATGTGGTGGTTCCAGAATGTTCTACTGCTATACATGTTATGTTCCAGTTGAAAATGTACCTATTGAACAGATTCCACTTGTGAAGGTTAGTAAGAAACTTCATTGTTTGAAAGTATGAAAATAGATTTTTAAAAAACATCTCATGTATACCTACTCTAATTGATAAACTTAATAAATAATAACATTATTATTATAAATGTTATAAATAAATATACTAATGTTATTATTTATTAAGTTCCTGTCCCTGTGTCCTTCCCTTATTGGCTAGAGTTGGACCGCACAATCTAAACTGATTCCAGTTGGCTAAGACTTAAACTTTTCCAAATAGGGTAAATGCACGATTTGTAAAAGGAGGAGTTAGGAGTGGTCTGTCCGTTATAGTATAAGGCATTTCTGGACATGTTTGGGCATGTCAGGGCACAACAAGAGTGGGAGGGTTGCTTGCAGGCTAGAAACGAGAGTACAAGGAGCTTGGGCTTCTGAACAAAGAACAAGAACATCACACAAGTAAACCTTTTGAAGAGGAATTTATCATTGCTAACATTATGAAAACGAAGTGTATTTATGGAAAATTTAGTCCTGCAGACTACTAAACCTCTTGGTGTTTTTAATGAAACCCATTAATTTTTCATTAATGATTTTAATTTATTTACAACATAAGAAAAAAATGTGTGATATAAACATATGAATACTAAAAAATAAGTTTATAGACACCCTGAAGGAGCTCCAAAAACTCATGTCTTTGGACTGCTTCTTGAGAAAACACTATTCTAGTAGAATTAGAGTTGATTTTTACCTAGGATTTTGTTACTTATCCTATACATGGGGCTGGAGTAGATTTCATTGACCAAAATGAAAATAAAGTAAAATTTGAAAACTAAGACCAATTCCCTGGGCTGTGTGATTTTAGAGTGATTTTAAGCCTGATTTAAAAGGTCATTCGAATTGATTGCTTACCTTTATACTTTCAGGTGTTTACCAAGACTACTTTTGTATAGGTAAAAGGTCTGTAGAACATCATGTCTACATAATCAAAGAAGAATTTATTATATATATGTTAACTTGTCTAACAGTATCCCAAACTTTAGGAGTAAATCAATTAACGTGTAAAATTTGACTACTGTTTATTAACACTTTAGAGAGACTAAACTCTACACATGGACTCATTAGAACTTTCCAGTAAAACAAATGAGTTGTAGCTATATTTTAAAATATTTGTTTGGATGATTTTAAATTTCATTTAAATTTGAAGTAAGAAAAGTACTTTGACACTCATATTTTATTTGAATTTCAATTTAGCCTATATCATCTTGGCCAGTCCATGGTCTCCTCTGCGTCTAAAATCACATATATAGGCTAATGGAAAGTTTACTGGCCAAGAATAAGTAAGTGTGGAATTTAAGCTTCACAGTTTGCTCAGAAAAACCAAGAACTTGAGGGTAATAATTATTTTCAAGTTTCCCATTATCTTACAGGAATGTTACATTTTGAAGTATGGTTTTTGAAGTATACGTAGAATTATTATATCTTACATTTCTCTCATAGCCACATAAAGAAGGGATTCCATTAAAAGTTTTATCCTAAGGTGTATTATATTAAAAAATGGGTTGCATATAATAATAATAAAAATCAGTAATGTAGTTACAGGGCTGATATTTTCATAGATATTTAATATTAGAGGGTATTTTCCAAATCAGTGATCTAATATACACCATTTAATAGAAGTGACTCAAGACATTAGTGTTTGATCATCTCTAGATGGTCTGGACTGTGCAGAGTTTTCTAAAGTGTTTATATTTTAATGGCCTTGTATGAAAGTTGATACTTTAATATACATTAATGGTAATAACAACTCTGCAAAATGTTCTTTCTAATTTTTATTTTTATTTTAACAAATCATTCAGCATTTGCTTTTAGATAGCCTACTTAGAAAGGGAGGATGACAATATAATGAGTAATTCCCTCCCAGTTTTAGTCTAGGGAATGCATTGATAAATATAGTCATATGTCTCCTAATGACAGGGATACATCCTGAGAAATGTGTCCTCAGAAATGAGTCGTTAGGCAAATTCACTGTTGTGCGAACATCTTAGATGTACTTACACAACCTTCATAGTATAGCCTACTATACACGTGGGCTATACCTATTGCTCCTAGCCTACAAAATCTGTACAGCATGTTGCTGTACTGCATACTGTACGTAGTTGTACACACAATGGTATTAGTGTATCTAAACAAATATAAGCATAGAAACGTACAGTAGAAGTACAGTATAAAAATAGTAATCCTTTATGGACACTGAGCATGAATGGAGTTTGCAGAACTGGAAGTTGTTCTTGGTGAGTCAATGGTGAGTTGTGAGTGAATGTGAAGGCCTGTGATGTTACTGTACACTATTGTAGTTTTTATAAACACTGTATACTTAGGGTACACTACATTTATGAAAAATATTTTTCTTCAATAATAAGCTTACTGTGACTTTTTTACTTTATAAGCTTTTTTAAAAACTTGTGATAACACTTAACTTTAAACACAAACACATTGTACAGCTGAACAAAAATATTTTATTTCTTTATATTCTTATCCTATAACCTTTTTTCTATTTTTATTATTTATTTATTTTTACTTTTTAAACTTTTTTGTTGAAAACTAAGACACAAACACATTACCCTAGGCTTACAGTGTCAGGATCATCAATATCACTGTCTTCTTTCACCTCCACATCTTGTTCCACTGGAAGCTCTTCAGGGGCAATGTATGGAGCTGTCATCTCCTGTGATAGCAATGCCTTCTTCTGGAATACCTCCTTAAGGACCTGCCTGAGGCTGTTTTACAGTTAACATTTCTTTTTTCTAATTAGGATGAGTAACTCTAAAACTAAAAAAATTAAGTGTAGTATAGTAAATACATAAACCAGTAACAGATTTATATTATCATTATTAAGCATTATTGTATAGCATGTTTTTTTATGACTGGCAGTGCAGTAGGTTTGTTTACATCAGGATCATCACAAGCATATGAGTACTGCACTATGGTACAATGTTACAATGGTTACACTTCACTAGGCCATAGGAATTCAGAGCCTAGAATTTAAAAGGCTCTCTTGGGGAAAGTTGATAATCCCATGGGAAAATGCCGAGGTCTCCTTGTCAGTAGCATTTTGATAAACTTGGGTGGAAAGATTTGTGGTAAGTCTCTTTTATAAAACATAGGTGTTAGAGAGCCGATTGATATTCTTTACTTGTTTGAAAACAGAATGCCTCTACTAAGACTGCCCTCTGGTAAACACTATTTTTTTTTTTTTTAAACATAGTTAAGCTTTAATGTCCATATGAAGCCTCAGAGCAATGTTTTTGTAGCTTGTAAAAAAGCAAAAATGTTTTTTCTTTCTTTCTTTTTTTTTTTTATTTTTATACTTTGAGTTCTTGGATACATGTGCAGAACTTGCAGGTTTGTTATATAGATATACACGTGCCATGGTGGTTTGCTGCACCCATCATCTACATTAGGTATTTCTTCTAATGCTATCCCTCCCCTAGTCCCCCATTTCCAGACAGGCTCCAGTGTGTGATGTTCCCCTGCCTGTGTCCATGTGTTCTCATTGTTCAACTCCCACTTATGAATGAGAACATGCGTTGTTTGGTTGTTTAATTTTCTGTTCCTGTGTGGTCAACACTATTATTGTTACTCTGTACTCTTTTCATTATTTAAGAAATAATCTGTTAACATGTGTGAACTAGAACACAAACATGGATTTCCATGATTTGATCTGTTTCTGTGCTTTGATTTTATGATGCGAGAGATGTCATGCTCATGGAGAACTAACAATACCCGGATTGTGTACAGGTTTTGCATAATTATATTATGCTTGCAGACTTTAGTTCATAAAGCTTTTTATTTTATCATATAATTTAAAAAATAGGCTAGGCACATGGTTTATAAAATTTGTCAATAACACTCCTGTGTTCTTGATATAAATGATACCCTCCAAGATAGCTAGCTGGTCAGAAATATTGATAACTTTTGGAATTTTCAACTTTACTCATCAGTCACATAAGAAGGTCACTTTTATGATCTGCTTTCTATTTCTTTTCTTGTCATGATCTGCTTTTTTTTCTTTTCTTATTTCCTACCTTTCCTGGGTTAAGATAATACTGACATGGTGCTCAGGGACCGTAGGGAGAGGGCAAGTAGTGTCTACTGAGACTGAGCGTCATGAGGAAATTCTGATGTAGTGTTCAGCCAGAAGTAGACTGATGTAAAATCATTTGTGAACTGCCTACTTAAATGGTAAATTTTCCGTAATTAGAAGTTGGTTTGATGATTAGAAGCAATTGGACCTAACTTATAAATGATCATTGGGCTTAACTTATAAATGATTACTAGGCCTAAGCAGGGAGGGTAGGAGATACAGTGTTTGAAACCCTAATTGAAAACTATTTGGGGAATTTATTTGTAGGCCAAGGTCCTCCTGGGGTGTGTTATTTATACCGTTCTGTCCCCAACATAATTGTCCAGGAAGAAAAAAATTTGAAATTGGAATTATTTAGTAGCTGCTCCATTCAAAAATAGTTTTGGAACTAATGACACACACACAACATGGAAGAACCTCAAAATATTCTTAGCTAAAGTCAAATGAAGAGTGTACATTGTATGATTTCATTTATATAAAATTCTAGAAAGTACAAACTATAGTGGCATTGGATTACTGATTGCCTGAGGAGGGCAGTGGTTGATGGTGAGAGGAGAAGGAAGAAGAGCATGAGAAGACTTGATAGTGGCAAATCATTATTTTGACTGTAGCAATGGATTCAAGGATTTAACATATGTTAAAACTTATTAGATTGTATACTTTAAATATGTACAGTTTAAGACATAAGAAAAATAGTTTTATCCTCCAGGGTAAAATAGTGTGCCCAGGGTAAATTCCTAGAATCCTACTTATTTAGTATGGGATGGGAACTTGGAGATGGTGGGAACTACTAAATAAAACAAAAGGTCATTTAAAAGCTGAAGTCAAGAACACATCTCCAGAGGGTTTCTTATATATAGTAAGGGAGATATGACCTAGCATTTTTTTCATAATCATGGCTGAATGCAGTGCTTGTATAAGCATTACAAAGAGAGCTAAACCAAAAAGCCAAAGTGAAATAAGAAAAATATAATTTAAGAAATCCAAGAGAATATTATTTTTGCATAGAGACATGTTACAGACAACATCTATAACAAATAATGAAACTTTAAGGGAAATACTTAGGCAACAGGGGTCCCCAATCCCCAGACCATAGACCAGTACCAGTCCTAAGGAACCAGGCCACACACGAAGAGGTGAGCTGCTGGAGAGCAAGTGAAGTCTCCATCTGTATTTACAGTCACTCCCCATCACTCACATTACCACCTGAGCTCTGCCTCCTGTCAGATCAGTGGCAGTGTTAGATTCTCATAGGAGCATGAACCCTGTTGTGAACTGTGCATACAAAGGACCTAGACTGCACGCTGCTTATGAGAATCTAATGCCTGAAGATCTGTCACTGTCTCCCATCATCCCCAGATGGGACCATCAAGTTGCAGGAAAACAAGCTCAGGCTCCCACTGATTCTACATTATGGTAAGTTGTATAATTATTTCATTATATATTATCATGTAATAATAATAGAAATAAAGTGCACAATAAGTGTAATGCGCTCAAATCATCCCCAAACCCTCTCCCCTAACCCTGGTCTATGGAAAAATTGTCTTTCACAAAAGCAGTCCTTCTTGGTGCCAGAAAGAATGGGGACTATTTAGGCAACATGATTTTGAAGAGAGTTTTGTGATATAAAGATTACACCTCTTAGACCTATTGTTACTATTTTTTATTTGATAATTATTTAATTTGTGCTGTTGAAAATGTGATGCTGAAAATCACGATGTTTCCTGCAGAAGATAACAGTTTTGACTTGAAAGTATGTATAAGGAACAGAATTTCAACTTGAATTTTAGATCTGAAACTTTTTGCCCAAACTTACATTTCCTTTTAAAATAACATAAGAGGCCGGGTATGGTGGCTCACTCATAATCTGAATGCTTGGGAGGCTGAGACAGGCAGATCACTTGAGGTCAGGAGTTCAAGACCAACCTGGCCAACATGGTGAAAACCTATCTCTACTAAAAAAATACAACAATTAGCTGGGCATGGTGGCAGGTGCCTGTAATGCCAGCTACTTGGGAGGCTGAGGCAGAATTGCTTAACCCAGGAGACGGAGGTTGCAGTGAGCCGAGATCACACCACTGCACTCTAGCCTGCGTGGCAAAGTGAGAGTCCATCTCAAGATAAATAAATAAAAATAAAATAAAATAGCATAAAATAGGCAAACCTAGAGTTTATAGGATTTATAAAAATGTCCTTGGCACATATAGTGAAATGCAAAGAATTGGAGTTAATATAACTTAAATGAAAATGACATTGGAGCTTTGCTTTAGGAGAAGATTCTATGTTAAATGAGTTGAAAATAGTTGTCCTAATACATGATTAACAATGCCAAGGAAGAAATTTGGGTTGGTTTTGTAACGAGCACCATTCTTAATATTCTGGTATATCTTTTAAACCGTATGTGTATTTATAGGAATTTATTGTAAGCTTCCTATTTAGCTTTAAAGACCCTTTTTATTAACATAAAAATTAGAATGTCTATATATTTTTTATTTGTCCTTTTTTTTTACCTTTAGCTTCCATTGAAGATTGACATCATTAAACATCCAAACGAAACAGATGGCAAAAGTACTGCTATACATGCAAAACTCTTAGCACCTGAATTTGTAAACATTTACACGTATCCTTGTATTCCAGAATATGAAGAAAAGGACCATGAAGTAGGCAACTTAGTTTTTATGACTCTTCACATTGGATATACAAATGAATTTTAACCTCCATTGCCTTTCTGATCTTACTCAAACATAATTTAATATTTTTCTTAATAAAGAATTATGCTTAGGTAGCATTAGACAATATACAGTTTATTTCATTGATATCTTCAAAGATCAGGTGATTCTAGACTGCTATGCGTTTTTGAGTCTGCATTTTATAGCTCTTCTGCCTTATTTCTTCAGGTTTTTACTCCTTGCCAATATTATTGTGCCTGCTTTTACTTTTTCTCTTCTCCTTCTCCTGTTTATGCTACATATAGATGATCTAATTTGATGCAAACTGGGCAACCAGATTACAAATATTGTTGGAATTTCTCTAAAAGAAGAAAGACTGAGTTAGGATGTTCAGGAATCCTCCTAAATTAAGAGCTTTAGTGCATAGCCTTTATAACATTTCTTTCAGCTGCTCAGAGGCCTTCCTTGGTCATTTTTAGATTCTTAATTGGTTTTCACCCAATTGGAATTGTCACATTGGTGAGATATTATGGGTCTTCTTGGAGAAAAGTAATTTTACAATGTGTCTCAAAAATTAGGCCTTGGGTACTAAAAGAAGCATGTAAAAGCCTTTTGGTCTCTTGGAGGCCATTTGTTGGTGTGGCTAATATAGAAACAAAATTAGAAATTAGTGCATTCATTTGTTCCAGGAAGAACTTGGTAAATTTTTACTTTTCTGTTTATATATCTTTTTTTGGTTGAGTTTATATAAAAAATTATGTTTGTAAATAATATTTGAGTTTGGGATCTAGGAAAATATTTCTTCTCTGGTCAGCTAGACTCCATTTAAGTTGATTAAATAGAATGTAGTGCTATGTTCTGTAAGGAGATGTGATATGTTTATAACCTAAGAAAATTCAGAAGCCCTGGACTTTGCTAACCGGATGTAGGGAGAAATATAGACATGTATGATGAATATTTAAAAACTTTGACAACTTTGAAATTTATAAAATTCAAGGTTTTTGCTTTTTAACAGAGTTTTGCTCTGTTGCCCAGGCTGGAATGCAGTGGCATGATCCCAGCCTGCTGTAGCCTTAAACTTCTGGGCCCAAGCAATCCCCGTACCTCAGGCTCCCGAGTAGCTGAGGCCATGGGCGTTGCACCACTACTCCCAACTAATGTTTTTATTCTTTGTAGAGACAAGTCTCACTATGTTGCCCAGGCTGGGCTCAAACTGCTAGGGCTCAAGTGATCCTCTCACCTTGGCCTCCCAAAGTGCTGGGATTACAGGCACTGTGCCCGACCAAGACTTTTTGTTACTTAATTTTATTTTATTATGATTTTGTTTTTATCTTTTTATTTTAAAAATTTGTATGCTCGTTGAAGAAAATTTGGGAAATAAAGAAACATATGGGGATAAAATTCCCTTGATTCTCCAACATTTATTCATTTAACAAATATTTACTTGGTGCCTGCCTTGTGCCAGGAGCTGTTCAGACATTGGAAGCTCTAATAATATAAATCTCAGTAAAAATGTGCTGAAAGAAAAGAGGTATCATACTTATGTAATTTTTCCTGGAAAGTTACATTTTTTTCATTTTAATTTTTCACTGTAATAAATATACTTAGATGTTGTAAGTGTCTGTGTTTAGGTTTATTACATTCCCATAATGAAATGGTTGAACCAAAGGGTATGAATAATTTTAAGACTCTTGATTTAAATTGTCAAATTGCTTCCATGAAGAGTTATGCTATTTAATCCTGCCCTCAAACCACCATTTCCTCACCAGCATTCACTGTATCATTTGTTTTATCTTTGGCTTATGATATAGATGCAAATGGCATTTAATCATTGAACAGTTTTCAGTGGTTCTTACAAGTACATGGTTTCATGTACTTGCTTTTTATCCTATGAAAAATTATATAATTCAATCTTTTTATTTCAAGTATGATTAACTTGGCATCTATCAGTCAGTGAATAACTTATTTTGAAATAATAGTTTTAATTAGTATATTATGATTATAAATTACTAGCGGAGAGCCAAAAACTTTACCATACATATTAAAGAACCATATACAATAGAACCAACCTAATGCTTGTTTCTCAGATATGCAACATGCTTTCTTAAAATTTTAAGTCAATCAAAATTTATATATTTTGAAGATCATAGTAGCACACTGCTAACCCAGTTTTCTTTGTTTTAGGTTGCACTCGTTTTTCCTGGACCTCAGTCTATCTCAATAAAAGATATTTCTTTTCATTTGCAAAAAAGGATTCAAAATAATGTTAGAGGCAAAAATGATGACCCTGACAAGCCATCTTTTAAACGCAAAAGAACTGAAGAACAACAGTTCTGTGATTTGAATGACGGCAAGTGCAAAGGCACACCACTGAAAAAAATTATATTTATAGATAGTACCTGGAACCAAACAAACAAAATATTCACTGATGAGCGACTTCAAGGTAAAAAAAAAAAAATGTTTTTTTGGACTGTTCCTCCCTCAGACTTGTTTTGAAAAAGCTTCAAACTTATAGATAATTTGAAAGAAGAGTTGCATTGAATACCTATACATTTTGCCACGTTGACTTTATTTCTCTATTTCTCTTTATTATATATGTGAGTGTGTATTTATATATTATATATATTTTTGATTGATCAGTTAAGTTTCGGGCTTTGTAACACTTTACCCTTAAATATTAAGTATACATTTTCCTTTTTTTGTTTGAGACAGTCCCAGTCTGTTGCCCAGGCTGGAGTGCAATGGTGCAACCTTGGCTCACTGCAACCCTCCTCCTCCTGGGTTCAAGTGATCCTCCCACCTCAGCCTTCCAAGTAGCTGAGATTACAGGTGCCCACCACCACACCTGCCTAAATTTTGTGTTTTTAGTAGAGACGGGGATTCGCCATTTTGGCCAGGCTTGTCTCAAACTCCTGACCTCAGGTGATCCTCCTGCCACAGCCTCCCAAACTGCTGGGATTACAGGCATGAGCTACCATGTCCAGCCTAAGTGTACATTTTCTAAGAATAAGAATATTCTCTTATATTAATAAAGAATGACATCTCTTTTATAAACACCCTAATGGTGAACACATTTCCTAAGAAGTTAGATCTTCTCTTTCGTTTTTTGTTTTTTGCCTTATAGGTTTGTTGTTGTTGTTGTTTTCTGAGAGGGAGTCTTGCTCTGTTGCCTAGGCTGGCAGTGGCACAATCTTGGCTGGCTGCAACCTCCGCCTCCTGGGGTCAGGCGAGTCTCCTGCCTCAGCCTCACTAGTAGCTGGGATTACAGGCACACACCACCGCTCCTGGCAAAGTTTTTTTTATTTTCTTTTTCTTTTTTAAAAATTTATTTATTTTTATTATTATTATACTTTAAGTTCTAGGGTACATGTGCATAATGTGCAGGTTTGTTACATATGTATACTTGTACCATGTTGGTGTGGTGCACCCATCAACTCGTCAGCACCCATCAACTCGTCATTTACATCAGGTATAACTCCCAATGCAATCCCTCCCTCCTCCCCCCTCCCCATGATAGGCCCCGGTGTGTGATGTTCCCCTTCCCGAGTCCAAGTGATCTCATTGTTCAGTTCCCACCTATGAGTGAGAGCATGCGGTGTTTGGTTTTCTGTTCTTGCGATAGTTTGCTGAGAATGATGGTTTCCAGCTGCATCCATGTCCCTACAAGGGACACAAACTCATCCTTTTTTATGGCTGCATAGTATTCCATGGTGTGTATGTGCCACATTTTCTTAATCCAGTCTGTCACTGATGGACATTTGGGTTGATTCCAAGTCTTTGCTATTGTGAATAGTGCCGCAATAAACATCCGTGTGCATGTGTCTTTATAGCAGCATGATTTATAATCCTTTGGGTATATACCCAGTAATGGGATGGCTGGCTCATATGGTACATCTAGTTCTAGATCCTTGAGGAATCGCCATACTGTTTTCCATAATGGTTGAACTAGTTTACATTCCCACCAACAGTGTAAAAGTGTTCCTACTTCTCCACATCCTCTCCAGCACCTGTTGTTTCCTGACTTTTTAATGATCGCCATTCTAACTGGTGTGAGATGGTATCTCATTGTGGTTTTGATTTGCATTTCTCTGATGGCCAGTGACGATGAGCATTTTTTCATGTGTCTGTTGGCTGTATGCATGTCTTCTTATGAGAAATGTATGTTCATATTCTTTGCCCACTTTTTGAGGGGGCTGTTTGTTTTTTTGTTGTAAATTTGTTTGAATTCTTTGTAGGTTCTAGATATTAGCCCTTTGTGAGATGAATAGATTGCAAAAATTTTCTCCCATTCTGTAGGTTGCCTGTTCACTCTGATGGTAGTTTCTTTTGCTGTGCAGAAGCTCTTTAGTTTAATTAGATCCCATTTGTCAATTTTGGCTTTTGTTGCCGTTGCTTTTGGTGTTTTAGACATGAAGTCCTTGCCCCTGCCTATGTCCTGAATGGTATTACCTAGGTTTTCTTCTAGGGTTTTTATGGTATTAGGTCTAACATTTAAGTCTCTAATCCATCTTGAATTAATTTTCGTATAAGGAGTAAGGAAAGGATCCCGTTTCAGCTTTCTACTTATGGCTAGCCAATTTTCCCAGCACCATTTATTAAATAGGGAATCCTTTCCCCATTTCTTGTTTCTCTCAGGTTTGTCAAAGATCAGATGGCTGTAGATGTGTGGTATTATTTCTGAGGACTCTGTTCTGTTCCATTGGTCTATATCTCTGTTTTGGTACCAGTACCATGCTGTTTTGGTTACTGTAACCTTGTAGTACAGTTTGAAGTCAGGTAGTGTGATGCCTCCAGCTTTGTTTTTTTGACTTAGGATTGTCTTGGCAATGCGGGCTCTTTTTTGGTTCCATATGAACTTTAAAGCAGTTTTTTTCAATTCTGTGAAGAAACTCATTGGTAGCTTGAGGGGGATGGCATTGAATCTATAAATTACCTTGGGCAGTATGGCCATTTTCACAATATTGATTCTTCCTATCCATGAGCATGGTATGTTCTTCCATTTGTTTGTGTCCTCTTTTATTTCACCGAGCAGTGGTTTGTAGTTCTCCTTGAAGAGGTCCTTTACACCCCTTGTAAGCTGGATTCCTAGGTATTTTATTCTCTTTGAAGCAATTGTGAATGGAAGTTCATTCATGATTTGGCTCTCTGTTTGTCTGTTACTGGTGTATAAGAATGCTTGTGATTTTTGCACATTAATTTTGTATCCTGAGACTTTGCTGAAGTTGCTTATCAGCCTAAGGAGATTTTGGGCTGAGACAATGGGGTTTTCTAAATATACCATCATGTCGTCTGCAAACAGGGACAATTTGACTTCTTCTTTTCCTAACTGAATCCCCTTGATTTCTTTCTCTTGCCTGATTGCCCTAGCCAGAACTTCCAACACTAT